CCCGGGGCCCGGTTCTACTAGTGGGGGCCCGGACCAAGATGAGGAATTTTCGGGGTAAGAACAAAATCTCCATAGGGCCCGAGCCCAAACCAGGATGAAAACTTGTGTTGTCAGATTTAGGAGGAGACTTAATTTGGGGAGCAGCCGAGTGGGGGTCCCAAGTGAAGGGGGGCCCCATGTGAGGTGTTGCCCCGGGGTCCTTACTGGCTCTCGACGCCACTGTCGGCAGGTGGTTACCCATCACTCATTCGGCAGGTGGTTACCCACGTCTGCTGGACACTCATGGCTTGTGTATAGCATCCGAACATATTTGCTTCACTCCGTGCTTTTATCTTAAATGAAAAGCGGTTTCTTCTGCGCCTTATATGATGTTATTCCATGGTTATACTTCCTCCCGTATTCCCATTCTCGAGAAATTCCAACATGGTCTGCCAAACATTTTTACCGGTTGAACCCGCCAGAAGCACATTTTCAGACTACAAAAGAATCTATCTGAGAAGGACTAGACTTGATACGATTATAAAATATACATTGTTAATGTAACATTAATTAATTTAGTTATATGCTTCCAGTTGAAAATTGGACTGAGAAAACTATTGTCTTCAACTATTAGGGGTCATCACTGAAATGAAATACTCTGCATTATTATGCAAAATTATCCAAATTTGAATAATTTTGTTTTGGACCTTTATTTGGAAGTTCCGAATATGTTTTGTGTTTTATTGATTTATGGAATATGTGGGCTCCAAGAATAGGGTGCCACACTTTGTTACTACATGTCCACTGGAATACATTATATGGTATCCGGCCTTTTAGGCCCAATTTTGCATTATAATACAAAATTAGTACAAAATTATCAAAATTTTGAATAATTTTGTTTTGTACTTTTACTAATTTATAGAATATGTGGACTCCAAGTATACGGTGTCAGACTACACTGGAATAAACGATCGTAACTAAGGATACCTAGTTTGTGGGTGTTCGGACTCAGCCATTCTATCCCAATTTTGAATGTAGTTAACGAATATCAGTAAAATATATTTATATATTTATTCAATGAAATTTATTTAACTAGGATAAAACCACATTTAATGAAGTGCTCGAGCTTAAAACTACAATGAGAAGAAAACTAACTAACAGCGTTATTAACAGTGGTAATGGACAAAGTCTACCTATCGAGATATAAAATAAATAAAAAGTAATTTATGATTATACAACCTTCTTCTTGTGTTCATACAATGATTGCGATATACAATAACACTACATCCAAAATGTATAATATGTATATATAAGGACGGTTAGTAAAAGCATTGACTCTTGTATGCAATGTAGGCCTATGCAGTTTGTATGTAATGCCATACAGTTTACGAAGTACTTGTTTTTTGGTTAATTATGAATATGGATTTACAATTCCGAAAAAATATATTTGATTGTTTGATTGATTGATTGATTGATTAATTAATAATGTAATTGATTACATGTATGAAATTGACACATGGATACATTGCTGCGTTCTTAATTTTGGATTTTTATTTTTATGTACATACACATGATAATATCATTTGTTCCTGTATTTAAGCACTGTTTCTATCATTGTATCACTTACTGATTGGCATTTAGAAGTGCAAGGTACCAAAAAGTGAAAACAAACTACAAAGACGAAGATTTTCTTATTCCAAATGTGTACATTATATAGCTCTATATTAACCACTAAAATTAACAACTGAATTACTAACGATTTCCTAGAGAATACACAAATAATGATGTTTATAGAAAAAGAAAAACATTAGTGGTGAAAAACATACGCACAAACTTACCTATTTTTCCATGGACGTTATTCACGATTAAAAGTAGGCCAAACATATGGCAAAAAATCAAGGCAAATTTCATCCCCATTCTATCGGTATGCTCAAAGTAATTGGCAAATTTACTTTGCGGACGGAAAATCTGATATTTTTTGTCCTTTTACACCAGATGTGAAACAAGACTGAATAAAACATAAACGTATTTAGCACTCTGAGAGTTTCGCGTTATCTATGCGTCTGTTGCACTCAAATAAACCAGGTACTGTGTGTTTCATTTACACTTGTGCCAGTGGTTTAAATAGGCATACGGTTTCACATGGCGTATAATAAATAAGGCGTGCTCGGATACACGAAAAACCGGAAGGACTTGTACTAACAATTGCGCATCAGTGATGACAAACCAAGTTTTTATTTCTATTAATGCAAATTATGTGGGCTTTATATTATGATGATTAAACTTGGAGCAATTCCGTATGGATTTGTAAACTGTTATCATAGCAACCTAAGCTAGGGTCTAATTAATACCAAAATAATGACTACTTGCCGACGAACGTTGCTTAAATAATAGATGAGTCAATTGGCTTGAATTTCGCTTTTCGATTTTCATATCTTTTTGTAACCATCGGCAAAGAGTGTGGATAGAATACTACATTTGTAAATGTTTATATATCATTAAATCTAGTTACGTTGTGACTTATTTCTACTTAATACTATTGCCATTAACTAACATTATTATATTAATAATTATTACTTATATATATATATACATATATATTTATATATATTTATGTATATATGTATATATGTATATATATGTATATATATATTATATATTATATACTATAATTATACTGTATATTTCTTGCACTAGAAATTATTAAAAAAAAAACAACTACAATTAATAACTTAAGTTTAGTTTGCAACTCATTTTTTAACCTCAATCTAACGGCCTACATAACATTTAATAAAATTGATGAATAGTTCAAGTCACAGCATGTCACTTAACCACCGCCATTGCGGAAGATGCGATAATACTTTTGTTTTACGTCCCCCTGTGTGTATATTAGGCGATCCTTCCTGGTATCTTGTTACAGTCTATCCACAATCTGTATTGTAGTTATTTTTTTCTTTTTCTTTGAGGAGTGGGGGGGGGGGGTCATTTAAAGTGTTCGCTTTTTGAAGTCTCGCCACCAGACATTATGTACTATGCTATGAGTGAAATAAAGCTTGATTGATTGATATTATATAAACCAACTAATATGGCATTCACCTTCAATATTATCATATTATTGATTATAATGGAGCTACTGTTTGTTTTGTATAGTAGTACCAAAAGTATACTGAATAGTGGTTAAACAAGCCTGATTAAACAAACCAGGTTAACCAGGTTAACCACATTATGTAAGGGAGTTGGTACATCTGGAAATCTTAGAAATTCTACACAAGAAAATCATAAACTACTAAGAATTCCTGAATGATTTTAAAAATACAAACAAAAAGATTCAAGGAATCGTAAAACACTACACACAATTGATTACTTTATTCCAGTAAATTAAATATATCCTCGTGAATGGTAAATAGAGATAAGATAATTAAGTTTGTTTTATTTATTTGTTCAATTGATTAATTGTGCTACCACACTTATACTGTTATATCATACATACATCAATGTATTTTGTGATATATGCATATGTAATATAAAATAAACTCGACATCATTTTGTGACCTATATACCTATTATTATTCAATTGAAATGATGGAGCTACTATAAGCAAATCTAACGTTGCTCATTCAAATATGTTGAAGATCTTTGGTGTCTGTATTGCATTTTATTAACATATTTTACTAGATATGAACTAGGTGGTACGGGAAGCCTGGTTATTGTTTAAGGTGACGGATATTTCCTATTACTCCGATCTCTATTCATACCCCTCATCTCTTAAACTTTTGGAGTCCTTAGGTGTTTGGCTTTACCCACCAGGGAACCAGAACCATTACTATCGTGTAACCAAATTTCGCAATCTTGGAACATATTTCGTATTAGTAAGAACTTGCTTTTTTAGGCCGCACAAAAAATTAAAAACCGTGCCTCGCTTTTTAATGTCGAAGCTGTAAAGTACATACGAACGTTAAATGCATGGCGTTTAACGTTGACATTACTTTTAAATTAAGAAAATGATTGTATAACATTTTATGTTGTAGGCCTATTGGGAGTAATAATAGGCCAGATATAACCATTTATAGATCAATTTAGTAAAGGATGAAACTTTAAACCTTACAATATTCACAGTCATTAAACCTTTGCTTTACGCTAACCCGTAAACGTTTGCCCAGGCGCCACTTCACAAGCACCCCGTCATTCGGAAGAGACATTGAAGCCGTTGATCCTGCCTAAAGAACGCAGTAGCCTGTTCGGAAGGGATGATATATTTATATTTTCTACCTCTCGCTATTTTCGTATTTATTTTGTATCGTTTTGTATTGGCTTAACTGTAATTCTTTTGTGATGGACATGAAATTTCGAAATAAAAAATAAATAAAGGACATGATGTTACATGGTAGCATAGCTCTCAACGAATGCTGACCTATAAATATATATACCTCCGACGGAATAAGAACCCGCGACCTCCCGCTATCAAGGCTATATATATATACATATATATATAGTGTTAGAATAAAGGACATAATAATACATCGTGTAGCATAGCTCTCAACGAATGTAGTCCTGTAAATAAATGAATAAAGAAATTGTGTAATAAAATGCCTCTGGTGGGACACGAACCTGCGACCTCTCGCTGTCAAGGCGAGCGTCATAACCATTAGACCACGGAGGCTTCATGGTTGAACAGATTCAAATACCACCAGATACACTCCATTACACAATAAATACGGTTAGAAACAAATAGTTGCCTATAATATAAATCAAGATAGCCGTTAATACTGTTAAATTATATAATAATCATCCAGGGAAGGTACATACAGTGTTAGAATATTTATTTATAGGACTACATTCGTTGAGAGCTATGCTACACGATGTATTATTATGTCCTTTATTATAACACTGTATTTACCTTCCTTTGATGATTATTATATAATTTAACAGTGTTAACGGCTATCTTGATTATAACTTACAAAAATATATTGGCAATAATTAAAATCTGCTTACGTGTTTTCCTTATTTATTGGCTATGCAGGCGGCTTTTTGCGATTGTTTTATGAGCAATTATTCAAAAGAGTTTTTTTTTTATATAATTTAATTTGTTTCTTGTACTATTGTCCTTGATTTTTAAAGGGGCAATAATTTTTGTTTAAGGTTGCCTATACATTTCACCATGCCTACTCCATTACCCGTTGAAGAAGCCTCGAAGTAATTACTAAAATATATTTGCAATAATTTAAATTTGCTTACGAGTGTTACTTACTTATTTATTGGCTATGCAGGCGGCAAATTTACCAATATTATACGGGTGTATAAATTACCACACATATGAATATAAGAAATTAGTTTTAGGCATTATTACGTCATTGTTGATTCAACGAGTCGTGTGTCAATCGCCACACAATTCACTTAAGATCAGTTTTCCGACAAAACCCCCATCGACCCCAGCAGGAGTGGTGCCAGCCGGGGGGAGGGGGAGGAGCGGTGACCAGAGACCCCCCCCCCCAATTCGTCGTAATGTATTTTAT